GGGGATTCGAACCTGCGACCCTCAGATTACGAGTCGAGCGCCCTAACCACCTCGCCATGCCGGGCCGGACGCACTGTCCTTGATGTGATGAAATTCTACATGCTTTTGTAAGATAACCAACCATTATAGCGCAAATAGAACACTGGGTTGTAGGTTCTTTATCTTAACAATGTACGTAAAGACCTGCAGCGCATCAGCTATTCGGCAACTCAACCATCTTAGTTTTAGCCCTTAACGAATCTTGAATATACATGAAAGAAGATTCAATTAGCGATCTTGTAAGATGAACGTCACTTGCACTTCTGTGGTAATATTATGACACTAACTACATAGAATGGTTTATTCTAATCCCTAATGTGGCTGATAAACTATGCAGTGTGCATGTCTTTGTTGTACGTACGACTTCTAAAACATCTTATGGAGTTTTCAAATGTATATAATGTAAGTTTGTTTGTTGTTAATCACAAAGCTATACAATGGGCTATCTGTGCTGTGCCCACCACGGTTATCGAAACCAAATGTATAGCGTTATAAGCCTTCAGATTTACGCTGAGCCACTCGGGGAGGGACTATAATGTAAGAAAATTATTACCTAGTAATTAAATTATTTATTGTGGACAACGAGCAGTGGATATTTTCTAGGTGATTATATTCCTAAACTTTTATCACATTGATTTATAACCACAAGTAGACTAACAACATACTGACGTGACTTACTGTAAAACACTCGCAATAATTCCATGACGATCCTGCAGAGTATCCATTGGGAGTGAAATCTTTTTTCCTGCTCTGGAAATAACAAGACAACACAAAACAGGCTACAGTAAACTAGAGGTCACAAAATGGCATAATTCCCAAACAAAGAAAGAACACGACGTTTCACCGAGTTAGCTTAGCGTTTTCAAGTTTGAAGAGAAAATAGTTTATGACGAACACAAATATGCTGCCGAGATTTAGTCAAAAATAATCTTATATACAAAAAAAAAAGAAGGAGAAGAACAAATGAATGTTTTTTTTTTCCTTATCACGCCCTATCTAAAATACTCGAAACCACTCAAACAAACTTTGAATATTTGTATTTTTAAAAGATCGAAGTTATGGGTTGTTCTATAGCACCTTTCTTGGTTAACATTTTTTTGATCAACTTAGAAAGAGGGCGCTCACAACGTCACTTCCCGCACCCACTTTCTGGCCACGTTACGTTGACGACACCCTTCATCGGCTTTTCTGATCCAAGTTTTGTGCATCCTTTTCGTGGCTTCCTCAATGACCTTTTACCTTTCAATATATCACCAAAGAGGTTGAAAAGAATAACTCTTCTTTTTTACTGTCTTAGTATCCAAAGGTCATAAGTTCACACTCTAATATATATGTGTTAGTCATAAGATCACACTCTAATATATGTGTTAGTTGTAAGTTCACACTCTAATATATATGTGTTAGTCATAAGATCACACTCTAATATATGTGTTAGTCGTAAGTTCACACTCTAATATATATGTGTTAGTCATAAGATCACATTCTAATATATGTGTTAATCGTAAGTTCACACTCTAATATATGTGTTAGTCATAAGATCACACTCTAATATATGTGTTAGTCATAAGATCACACTCTAATATATGTGTTAGTCATAAGATCACACTCTAATATATGCGTGTTATTGATAAATTATTTTACATTTCAAAACGCTGCGTTTTGTTTTAATTTATCAAAATTTTGAGAATATTATATCATTTTTTGATTTCCGGTTTTAAGTAAATTTCAAGATACACGAGTACAATACACAGACTACAATAAAGACAAAAATTAAGTCCAAAAATTATATTCGTTTAAAATCATCATATAAGAATAGCTGGCACTATAAGTTAAAGAAATTTTAAAAAATTATAAGTTGATTGCAATCGTTTTTGGTACTTTGAAAAATAGGTATATTGTGTAAGATTTGGTCACAGACCTAC